AGTTCTAGCTTTTCATTCTGCAATGCTAAAAAAATTAAAATAAATCAATACAGTCAGACCTCGCATAACCGCACACATCTGTTTTCCACAAAAACATCCGGATAGGCGAGGGAACCGGATAACCGAACACCGTTTATGTTGGATGCATCACGTATGCTGTAAATATGTAACCAGCTATTTTCTTCCGGATGGCGAGGGATCCGGATAAAAGAGGACCGGATAAGCGAGGTCTGACTGTAAAATGTTCACGGTTTGCGTGAGACTCGGCTGGATGCCGATTTTTCCACATCCGTAGGAACGGCACCACACTCTAGGAGCTAGGCGCAGATGTAGCTACTAAGCGGTGGGAGGTGAGTAGATCAGACCCACCACAAAGTGGTCAAAAACCGAAATGCCATTAACTGCATCCATGCTAGAAAGCTAACAAAATGATGATCGAACACCTACATGTACATGTCAAAGAGTAACAGCACACACACACACACACACACACACACACACACGCACACGCACACGCACACGCACACGCACACGCACACACACACACACACACATACACACACACACACACACACAAACACATACATACACATACATACACACACAAACACACACACACACACATACACACACACACACACACACACATACATACACACACACATATACACACATACACACTTACTGGGGGCTGAGGTGGTTGGACGTACATGTGGAGGATCTGCAGGCAATAACCAAGAACATGACCAAACCAATACAGATGAACTCATCGCGTTAAGCACTCATCAACTTTGCTTCCCTATTGTTAATTAACATTCTTATTTGGATGGAGAGCCGAGGACGTTTTATGAGAAAGAAAAAGGACCAAGGAACTACAAGTTACGCTATACTGTCCATTCATGTTATCGCATGAGCTGATTGTCCAGTAACTTGTGTTGTTATTGGATGGTATAGCGTAACTTGCAGTTCCTTGATCATTTTTCTTTCCCACCAAATTATTCATTATCCTTTCATTCCACGATTGACAGCCGCCAATAGGAAAGATTGATACGTATGATAGCATGGATACTAGTCAGAAACAGCTGGATGGGAAGTAACCCGGGGAGCCAGTTGTAGTGGCAATACATTGTTACCTGACCTAAAGAACAACACAGGCAGGGTAGATGGTAAGCCTGTACAACTCCACTATCACAAGCACTGGACTGTGTAATACTGCAACGCAACAAAATTTAATATTCGGTGCACATATATTTTCAGCTATTTTAAGCCCGGGTATTTTGACCCAAATTTGTTCCGGCCGAGATTACTGTGCAGACTGCAGGAGTAAAGGCTGAAATATTTGATGTGACCGAAATGTGTTTTAGCCCTGGGAGCCGTAAATTTGAACACGCCGCAAATTACTAGACTTACAATGAGCACAACTTAGCTTTTCACCTGATGGAGGGCTATCACTCCCGCATGCATCACTGACTATGTGCTGGTGTAGATTGCTGGATGCTAGACATGTAACAGCGTGTCAGGCCTTCAGCACTCTGCTATGCCACACATCATGTCATCAACATGACATCATTATGACATCATCTTTACATCATCAATGTAGACAGGCATGAAGTCAGGAATGCCTGGCAAGTACCTGGACGCAGTATTTCTGCAGCAAGACCTGTGTGTGACAATTGGCCACCTCCCATACCCATTATTGTCAACACCTCCCACACCCATTACTGTTAACACGTCCCATGCCAACTTCACTGGCCTCATCCCGAGTCAGCCCAAGACAATCACTTGCCCAGTGGACACCTGGCTACCTAGGACCAGCGGAAGCAGTCTTTGATTGGTGCGGCCATACCCTCGCCTTTCATACAGTTTGTGTATGATACTATGGTGGTTACACGTGACCTAACCAGCAGGAAACACATCTCGGTGGTCGAAAGGCTCGTATGGCCATGGCATGGGGACCAACTGGACCGGTTCCGTCGGCCCACTTTATGGACGCAGTATTCAGAATACAGTACATGTACTATCGTTTGGCAAAGAATTGCGGGGTCAGCCTCTTAGCCTAGACCGTTCTGATTTTCATGTACCGTAAGACCAGATATTTTAACGTGAATTAACGATTTAAAGTTACCGATCTCCGGATATTTGTGGGTTGGCGACTTGAAATTCAAACGAATTCTGTCTCGAACCCGACAAATGACTGTACATGTACATATCGTTTTGCACATAACGACTTCAAATGTTTCTTTCAAATTCATTAACTCGTTGCTGTGCCTGGTAAAATTCTAGCCTGGTCGTTCTTCGGCACTCTGTTTTTCGGTGCCGGACAGCACCGTAGGGCAGTGCCTTACTATTGGGATCGACGCTCATGAAGATGTGTTGGCCCCAGTAGCTCGCTCCAGCACTCGTTGCTGCAGACACTGCAAACACGTAGTCCTCGTGCGTGATCAGATTGGGTATATGGAATTCAAACACATCACCGCCAACGACTGTATAGAGTTGCTGGCTGTCGATGTTGAGAGCTTCGGCCAGTACGTAGTAGCCTCTGATCACACCGTTACGCAGTTCAGGAGGAACAGGAGTCCAGCGTATGTTCACGGTTGTGCTGCTGTTTGCGTGGGCTCCCACGATGTCTGGTCCGGCTGATGGTGCTAGATGACATGGCAGATGAATACGAATGCACAAGCGCACGCACGCGCACATACATACATACACACACAGACACACACACACACACACACACACAGACACACACACACACACACAAGATTAAACCACACACGCACAAACGTGCCCACACACACACACCCATCCACACCCACACACGCGTACACCCCAAACGTGCCCAAGTACACATGTGGAAGTTCGGCAACTCCATTACATTAAAATAGTTAATCAGCACTTTACTGGGCTAGTTACGTTGATGAGCCAATGCGTATCCCGGCGATGAGGTAAATTTAGACAACGGAATATTCGGTTCTCAATCGAGGAAGAAAAGGGTAAACACCAAGCATGGCCATGTATACCATCCGAGCATGGGACCAGGTTATGATAGAATAAAGTAGAACGTCAATTATTCGGACGTCAACTATCCGGATGATCGATTATCCAGATCGCCTGGACAGGGCTCGACGAAAGGTTCGGAGTTTTCTCGAGGTTTTTGGTGACTTTTCCCACTTGGAGCACCATTGAAGCGATGCACAACATGTATTAAAACAGGCTGGAGTCAAAATGTATTACAATAGTGTATATTGAGGAGCTGCAGGGCCCCTAGTTCCTGGTGTACAGCAGAAGAAAATGAAAAATTATGAAAACATGGGAGGAATATGCATGTTTTAGATAGATGTGTGATTGCTCCCTTATCCGAACATTCGTCTCACCCGAACCCCCTGGAGACAGCCCACGTCCCGAGAATAATCGGCACTCTACTGAACCTGCATTTACACAACACGTCTCGGTCATTTCTGCATGCAGTGTCCTGAGAAAACCGTGACGACTATGATGATCTGGCAAATATAGTACAAGTCGGTTGTTAGAGATGAGCATAATGACTGTTTCAGGATGACACTAATTGTAGTACTAGAGTATCAAAACTACACGACCGCTAGAATCATGTTTTAATCCTTTTGATAAGTGAACTCAAGATGGCTATGTAGCTCTAGTTACCCCTCGGCTTTAGTTCGAATTAGTGGTAGTGACTTCGGCGATAATTTCATAGGAAACTAAGGAAAGGGTTTGCTTCCACACTGCACAAAGTACTAATGTCTGTCTGGTTGATTCTCCTTCTGCCTTCATCCCCCCCCCCCCCCTCCTCCTAACTCCCCAAGTCCCCACCACACATGACCCGACACATCCACACATCCACTCGACAAAACAGCCTTTCTCACAGTGGCTGGATGCAATGTTGCATGCAGATATAAACAAAGCTCCTCAAAACCACCGAGCGTAATGTTGCAGTGCCCTAGTGCTTGCATTGATATGCCTGCACACTAAAGCACGAACTAACCATCCTCTAAGGTGAACATGGACACCGGGCTGGAGAGCTGGCTTTGACCTGCAGTAGTGATGACAGAGACAGTGATCGTGTAGTTGGCGTATGGGATTAGATCACCCAGAATCGTCCCAGTCACACTCCTGCCGGGTGTTATCTTGCCGATGTGATTACTATGGGAGAAGAGTGGGGAAGTCCCTTCTGCTGTCACATCATACGCAACGATTGCAGGGCTGCTGGGTGCAGTCCAGGAGATTTGAAGAGCTCTGACGAACGCAACATCGATCGTCACACCACTGGGCGGACTCGGTTGTGGTGAGGTCACTGCAAAGAGACAGGAAATGAGAGAGAGTGAGAGAGAGAGAGAGAAAGAGAGAAAGAGAGAGAGAGAGAGAGAGAGAGAGAGAGAGAGAGAGAGAGAGAGAGAGAGAGAGAGAGAGAGAGAGAGAGAGAGAGAGAGAGAGAGAGAGAGAGAGAGAGAGAGAGAGAGAGAGAGAGAGAGAGAGAGAGAGAGAGAGAGAGAGAGAGAGAGAGAGTGGGGAGATAGAGTGAAAGGAAAACAGAAAGGAGGGGGAGTGCGTGGGGTTTACTCTTCAGTGATGTAACAGACGAGAGACAAATAGAACAAGTATGGGCGTAATGCACCAAAGTCAGACTTGTGGGAGAATCAGGCAACCTGGAAGCAAGGCCAGAAACAAATTGATTGTCTGCATCCAGAGCTAGAACAGGGAAATATTCTCAGAGCAAGAATACGGGCATTGGATACTACAGCAAATATATTCATCAAACGCTCATGTTGCTCAGCAGGGTTGCTTGAACTCAGTGATGAGTTAATTCTACCCAAAATAGTCACACCCAAGTCGAGTCTTCCAAGATGAATATTGGGGGGGAGGGATTCTGTTACACCAGGTGCTTTCGGTAGTTATAGAAAGTGGCCACGTATTTCTGTTGTTAAGAACAATTGCCAATTTCAGCAGACAAATCCAAGAACAGTTTGTTTTGTGGCACTTTGAATCTACCAAAGTTCAGACACAATGAACAGGGATGCAGTGCAGGCATACAACCCGGACTGGTTATGACATTGTGTAATATCCCTGTGTTCAGAGTTCTTACCAGCAGAAAGTGTAGTGACAGTGACGGGTGATGTGCGGTTGGAGAGCAAGGAAGACGACTGACGTATTGCCAAGGTGAATGCGGTGATTGTGTATGTTGCCTGTTTCTTCAACTGGGAAACCGGCACAACGCTGTGTGAGCTGCATACCTCCTTTGAGAGAGTTCCAGTCTGATTCATCGTCGTAACTGTCACGCAATTCTCGTGACAGGCGGTGTCGTTGACAAACGCAACGTACACCGCTGTGTCTGCAGGCGTGATCTCTACATCAGGTGCTGCTGGGGCTTCATCAAATGAATTGAAAGCTGCCAAGGCACAGAAAAACAGGTAAAAGTAGAAAACCAGAAACTGATTGAATAGGGGAAATCCGGCGTTCATCATTTTATGAATATTATATAACGGAGATCTGGAGGGAGCATTGACTGTCACCACCAGGACTCGAGCCAGAGACCTTCACTTTAGGCCAGCAAGGCTCTAACCACTTATCTGTGGTGTAGCCCTCATCCCAGCAGAGGCCGTTGATCATTTTCTTGAAACTCATGCTTCCTGTGACACCACACGGGCTGGTGGGGCGCAGCCCTCACTGTGCACACACAGAGTCCGCGAACAAACTAGTACGCAGGGAGCCCCACTGTATCAAATATTCATCACTTTAGGGTGTTGAAAAGGAAAATAGGTTGTTTTGCGTTCACACATTGCAAATGCAAGAAAATGGTGGCGCCCCCATACGACATTATCGAATTCTGTTTTTACATAGTCATTCGCTGGTTGGCATGAATAGATCAAAGGAACGTCACCATGGATCACACATCAGCTCGGAAAAGAGAAAGTCCAGGAGTCACACATCGGCTTGCATAGGAAAATACATGATGCACATCATTACCAGCTTGGATGGAACAATCGAGTGGTTTCAGATCGATCACGTGATCATATAGGGCGGCCATGTTGTTTCTAACTCCAGTCAACCCTTGCATCAATGGGTCACATGATGCCGGCCCTATTGGCTCCGAATCCAATCCGCCCCGGCATGTATGGGTCACATGACGCCGACGTGTTGGTTCCACTGATCACATGACACAATCACTTTCAATACAAATGTTGTCACATGACAAAACATGTGCAACCACTCTATTCTATAATGTGCTTGTACACATCAGAGTGGATGGAAGACACTTACGCTGTTTTTGTGAGTCCTCGCCCTGGCATACGTATGCATTGGGCCATGAGCAGTTATAGTTGCTGATCACCTGTGATCCGTCGAACACGCTACACTCGGTACCTTTGGCAAAGTGCGCGCCCCGCATCCAGATTCTCGTGTCGGCCGCTATCTGGTAGTGGATGACCAGGAAGGTGTGGAAGTCTTTCAGGCACTCGTGGTCGTAAAGGCCCACCTCTGGCAGACTAAAGTCATTGTCGGCACAGTCGCCGTATGCATTTTCATGGTCACGCACCTCCTCGTCCCAACTTGACGTCGGATCAGAGAGTTGATAGTCGACAAGTTTGTAGGTGACATCAGTGCAACGACAGTGCCAGAAAGCTGGAGGAGAAGGCGAAATAAAACATACATGTTGGCGTGGGAGTATGAGGTTGCTTGCGGTGGCCTAACGAGCGACTACCGGGTCTTTGGTATAAGTCGACTCCTGATATAGCGAACACCTTTGTGAAGGAGAATTAGTTCTTTATAACCGAAATGCACTCACACCATGCAAGCAACACGTCATGACTGGCATGTGACCCATGCAGTGAGTTACGGTAGCACTTACTTTACATGCTGCGATACAATAATTATTGGATTCGTTATAAAGGGTCAATTTTGCATGAGGTTCAAACAGGGACGTGAACACTGTGTCGCTATATCACAAAATTCGCTATAATTATGTGAACTTGGATAATGAGCCACTGTTAAATGTAAAATAGAAGAAGAAAACACATGGAAACGAGTTACGAAGCAACTATCCACAAATGCAACTAGATAATAAGCATGATATGCTTATTATCTAGTTGTGAGTCCGCTATAAGTGGAGTCGAGCGTAATCGTTTCACCTGGCCTAAAAATCATTTCATGCGCTCATATTCCTTCACATGACGCTGGTCACACATTCTGCAAAAAAAAACAATCTCACTTACATCGAACAGTCTGATCTGGATTGTAGATGGACAGCAAGTGGCCCGCTCTGGGACCCAGCAAGAGAATGCAGACAGCAATGAACAACACCTCACAATGCACCATTGTGTCTGGGTTTCCACTCAGACCTGCAAGACAAGACAACACAGAACGGTATGCCAGAATTCAAACGCAGCACAACATGTTATTAACCCACATGCATGCACGCATACACACAATAAAACTTAAAACAAACAAAACATCAATATGCACATTTATCCAGACACACTCTCACATACACACACACACGCATGTGCGTGCCAAACGTACAAAACGTGGACACATGTACACCAAGCAGATAGAATACAAGGAAGTGGGGTTTGCCATAGTTTTTTTTCTTTCAATTTTGTCTGATAAATATTTACGAGACTTTGCATCGAGCGACACCGTGGATAACATTGAGCCAAGAATTAGGCAATAAGCCAGAAGAGATATCTCTTCACAAGTAGGCAAATAAATGCGTAGGCGCCTGGCAACAGCAATCGGGCGAGTCACAGCAATGTACGTATTGCAACTTCAATGATACACATACACGGTTGACCACCCATGCCTCAAACCGGCGGGTCAACCACATGGTGGCCCGGCAACTTCAAACGGGAACACACCGATACAACAGACACAGTTGACCACCCATGCCTCAAACCGGCGGGTCAACCACATGGTGGCCCGGCAACTTCAAACGGGAACACACCGATACAACAGACACAGTTGACCACCCATGCCTCAAACCGGCGGGTCAACCACATGGTGGCCCGGCAACTTCAAACGGGAACACACCGATACAACAGACACAGTTGACCACCCATGCCTCAACCACACAACAACATACAGGTGTCACAACACTGAGACAGTACAGCACAACACTGAGAGGCAAATGCATTTGACCCTCCTTGGGGCCTCGTCACGTGGCACAAGATACCAACGTGTCATGTCTAAAGGGAGGGAGGGAGGAGAGAAAACACAACCTTGAGTCACTTTGACTAACTGGATGACAGAAATTGTTGACAAGGAAGTTGCTAAGTTGCTTTGCTGACACGAGGCAGGGCAAAGCGGCCACGCAAGACTTATTATTTCATCCGCCATTTTCGGAAAAAATATTTTTTATTCATGTGCCGCGTGACGAACCCGTGACAAAACACGTGCATGCATGGGCTAACTTGGCTTTGCTGCTCAAAGCCGTCATTTAGCCTCGTCCCAAAGAATCAAATGCAGTGAAGTTCTTTGCCCAACCTTGGTCCACACACGCCACTCGACTTGTACAGCTGTTTTCACGTCTTGTGCTTGTACGCAGTGCGCAGGGGGGGGGGGGGGGGAGGGTCGACCCCTGTCAATGAAACATTTACTGCCCGTATCACTAGAGCTGGCAGAGCCGCCCCAAGTCAAGGTGATTACAACCATGAGATCAGTCATATCACCATTGAAGAAACCTTCAGCATCGCATCTACGGTGTTCAATATCTTTGGGGTCCATCTTCTATTACCGCCTGTCTAAAATACGCGCCACAACAATTTCCGGGCTTTTGCTTGGATTTTTTTTCAAATCAGGTAAACGTTTAGCTCACTCAAACTACTAAGTGCGTGCGGGCAATATTGCCTAAGTATGTTTCGAGTATCCAATTCTGACCAAATCTTTAAAAATCAGGCCAGGACTAAGGTTACGTTTGGTTGGTCACATTCCCAAATGGGAATCACTTGGAATCACTCGGAATCATTCTCGCTCGTTTGGTTGGTCAAAAAAGTGCGTTAGGTTGGTCACATTCCACATGATTCCAGAATGGGAATCGCTGAGAATGATTCTTTTTGGAGAATGATCATTCCACCTCACATGCTGGAATGAGCATTCTCATTCCGGAATCAAAAATGATAATGGCTGCCACGAGCCAAACAATGTAGCAACAGGTTCAAGTGCCTCAAATCATGCACTCAGAAGTACCTTGACTCTCTCAAGGAAACTAGAGTCGGGTAAAAGAAAATACAGCCGCCGTTCCACAACGACATCATGGAATTGTTATGTCAAGTGATTCCTAATTGATTCTGGCGCGTTAGTTTGGTCAGGTGATTCTTGCCGATTCCCATTCCAGAATGGTTGTCATTTACATTCTGAAAATGCCCAACCAAACGCAACCTCAATGAGCTGGGTGACTAGCATACAGTCTTTCTCGCTGTATATACTGTTCCAAAGGCAGAAATTCAAACAGCAGCACAAGAGGAGCACTGTGGAGCTAGCATTTGGCACATTGGCCATGTACTGGGCACCTGGTGCCATGCCCTCAACCGTGTGTGTGTGTGTGTGTCTGTGTGTGTGTGTGTGTCTGTGTGTGTGTGTGTGTCTGTGTGTGTGTGTGTCTGTGTCTGTGTGTGTGTGTGCGTGCCTGTGTGCACGCGCATGTGTGCAGGCGCGTAGTTTGTGAGTAGTCCGGTTACCGCGCCAGCAAATCGGCATCATATTAGTAGGTACTATAATTATAGTCAAAAGAGGCTAACTTGTGGCTATGAGGTTGCCGGTGATAAATGGCCACCACGCTACAGACTCTAGCTCTAGCACATGGTCACCACACCGTACATGTGAGCGAGCTACGCCCCCGCGTGTGTGTGTTTCGGGGGGGGGGGGGAGATCCTATAGTGACTCAGTAATATGGCAAAATATCAATGTACCGATACTTCATTCATAAAATTTGCCCGTCACAAACTTGGACAAACATTTCCTACTGAGAGAAGTCAGGACTCACTCAGGAGTCAAGTTCCAGACTCACCGCGAGCGACTGTCCTTCATCATCCTAGCCACGCCACAAAGTGTGAGGGAACCCACCAGTCGATCTCCTGCCTCCATGTCGTTTTGATGCGCTTCATTCATGAGATCACATTCCTGGTACGGAACGCTGAGTGACCGGAATCAACTTCTCCCAAGCCTGAACATCAGTACTAGCTACTAATAGCGTCCTTTAGAAGCTGCACGTTTAGTACTCGAAAGGCAATACAGTTTTCTGGTGGTCGCTTCACAACGAAGAATGGATGGAAAGTCAAACTCGAACTCCACTGCTCGCAATGACCATGATCTGACGATATGACGACTATTTTGGAATATTTTGATTACTAGTACTCAGATTAGGACTAGGAGAAGATCCTCAACGAGCAGATGTCGCTGCACATGTGAAGGTCTATGACTATGTTGTGTGCTGGATCTGCTTGAAATCATTCTCATCTCCTGGAATCGCGACGCTACTACTGGACAGCGCACGGACCTGTAATGGTGGCCACTGACTTGGGAAAACTTATTTTCTAACATAGTCATTGAATAAAGATTCAATGACTCCAGAGCTAGCCTAGAGTCTAGTACTAGAGATCGAGAGGCTCATCACAATCATATCAGCAGTGTCACGTGTGTGTTTTGGTTTGGCGTGACTCGTGGGGCAGGGACTGGGAGTCGTAGATGTAGAATGATGTGCAGATCTACGTAGATCTACGGTTCTCTTGTGTGGGCCAAGGGGGGGGGGGGTTACAAAGCGCCTCCTGTCACAGCACGAACACCGCAAAGCAGGATACATGCACACTTAGACAGGCTAAACATGACTATCATGCTGAGTAAACAGATAAATTGACTGTTTGTGCCGGCAGGGGCCAGGATTCTGTCGTTCCTAGACCCACTAAACTACTATACGGCGCCTTTGGCCTCTCCACGCATTGCCTCTGGCCTCTCTACGTATTATTGCCTTTGGCCCCCCACGCATTTTGGCGTGGAGCAACACAAACAACACACAGCACACATGCAGTGGCCTTGCGAGTGGGAGGTTGAGAGGAAGGCTTGAAAACACTATACCTGGTCAGTGTGTAGATGTTGAGAAGCCAGTAAGACAAAGGTGTCCTTGAGTTGCTCTGTTTCCAGGAAGAGGAATATCAACAGCGGATCCTGAGACTAAGATGAACTTACAGCAACGTTCATGATGCATCTAAAGGCTCCTCTAAGCTACGGACACTGCAATGAGGTGTATTGGGACATTCCCGTTCATTTTATTGCAGGTCATGCGAAGGTGGAGTGACAATTCACGCTCGCGGACCTCAGGTCATGTTGACACCACGATACATATAACTACCACGTGAGCAGAGACAACGCAACATAATATTATTTATAATTACATGTATGCGAACGTCTTCACTGTCCGTCTTGCAGGGCGACGTTCACCCTGCGGCGCGTATCTTGGCAGCCACGTGTCAAAACTGACAGACACGTGGTCGGGTTAGCACGAGGCATGGATAGCACGGATCTCGCAACGACATTGCACCTGCAACAGCCAATCCGGGTCTGTGAGATAGGGGTGTGCGGATAATGCTCGGTGGCAGATTCTGCTGGAAAAGCAGTGAAAATGGCAAAACCATACAAACCTTATGGCGGGCAATTCCTCGAATTCTGCTCCATTTCTTTATCCACATACCAAACATGCATGAAACTTACGAGAAAAAGTACCGAATTCTGCCAATTTTTCTGCCGGGATTATCCGCATATGCCTACTGTGAGAACTGAAAGTTAATGTACATGTATGTGCAGTAGTGACTTGCTTTGAGAAGGCGCAGCTGAAGACACCAGGAACAAGACGGCTTGAAAGCACAGGCTCTCTCGCTATTATACTATAGGTCATGATGTGTGTTAATCGAACTGATAGACACGTGACACGTCTTTGCAATACAAAAACATGTGCCCGATACTTGTATTGCAAAGACGTGTCTATCAGTTTGAATAACAAACGTGATGATCGACCTACATGTACATGTAGGCCAAACAAAGCATAGCGAGATATCCTAGGCTTTAAAGCCCTCTCGTTCCTATTTTTTTGTAGAGTCACGCGATGACGACCCTACCACACCTCAGACCTCAGACATGCCCATCGCGGAAGCGATGATAGCGAACAGCTATGTTAGACATAGCAACTTGTGCTGGGATTACACCATTCAACAGCTTGCAAGGCTGATGAATTGACCGCCACTATTTTTAGCCTGGTCTCCACCACACAGCTGTTTGAAGTGACTTTTCACACACACACACACACACACACACACACACACACACACACACACACACACACACACACACACACACACACACACACACACACACACACACACACACACACACACACACACACACACACACACACACACATAATATATATATACACACACATACACACACACACACACACATACAGACAAACGCAATAAAGCGGTGTGGACCCGGGCTAGTGCCAGACGCTACTAAAGTAACGTCTTTTGTATAGCTTCTGAATTAACACGCCGGTGTGTGGGGCGTGAAGCTTGGGCAGCCCGATTGCATTTTGGGAATTATCTGGAAAGAAATTCCAAATGGGTGAGGAAAACTATAGGTATGACCCTGCTGACACGGGTGCGGTTACCCGGAAAGGAATCAATAAAATTAATCAAGATTCACATAAAAGAAAAACTTCAGGATGCCGGAAAATATACCATAACACATGATGATAAAAGGAAAAAAACTATGCTCTAAAGAGCACACGGCAGTCGTTTACAAAACTCGCCGAGTGCTTAGAGTGATAAGAGGACCTAGAGCCACGTAAACAGGTGATACACCAGCAAAGTAGGCAGAATGACAAACTGCATCGCAAATGATTGACAACAACACAATACACCAAATCAACATTTTTTCTCCAAAATAAGGCCAACCAGATCAAGAACACTGAACACTCTTTGCCTATCATGCATGAAAGTAATACCGGTACTTGCTATTAGTGTGAGTGGCTAAATCAGAGTGGATCTGATATACGATTCACAACGAAGTAAGCTTCACTGGCATCGCTGATTACACAAGAGTTAATCTAGCCAGAAGCAGTCCATGGTAAACGGGTATGACTGTATACTTCAAAATAGAACGTATATGAATCCTGAAACCAACAAAATGCGGCAGGTACACCGATACACCTTCGAGCAGCCAAGCCTGTTGGCAACGGACCCAACACTATCTGGCATACCGTACTTGCGCGATTAGAGCCCTCTCTTGAATAGTGCCCCAGTCTCTAGGAGCCAGTGAAAAAATAGAGCCATCTATTGAATTGTGCCCCCCCCCCCCCAAACCCATGTGCAAGTTTAGTGTTTTTTTGCTAATGTTCTTGTCCATGTCATTGAGCGGGTGGTTTCAGGATCAAAATCGCTGTTCGTGTTGCCCTTTCTGATTAGTCCTGTTAATAGTAAACTTTAGGCTCTGTTTTTCTTTGCTTTCTTTGTTTTATGCGAGATGAGGTAAATGTACCAAAATTGAACTTTTTACTATGTTCACATTCCCAGCTCGAAAAGAACGATGAAACACAATGGTACTGAGACTAGGACAAACGTGACAACTACTGAGCAGGGGCTGCACCGAGACACAAGGGTGAGGTTGGGGTATTGATGGCTCTGCCGACCTGAGGTCTCGGCATCACGGCCAAAAACACCCACCAAAAGTGTCCTCTCTTGAATACTGCCCCATCTGTATGGACATTGAAAAATTAGTGCCCCATGGGCACTAATCCCGCGAGTACGGTAAGTGTACCCGCGCAACGGAACTAGCTGGCACACACACACACACACACACACACACACACACACACACACACACACACGCACACACACACGCACACACACATACATACACACATACATACACACACACGCACGCACACACCTCAGACCTGCCCATCGCGGAAGCGATGATAGCGAACAGCTATGTTAGACATAGCAACACGCACACACACACACACACACACACACACACGCACACACACACGCACACACATACATACATACACACATACATACACACACACGCACGCACACACCTCAGACCTGCCCATCGCGGAAGCGATGATAGCGAACAGCTATGTTAGACATAGCAACACGCACACACACACACACACACACACACACACACACACACACACACACAACTTGTGTCGGAAACACGTGCGACAACACCGTCCACACCCGGTAATTTTCGCGCAGATCTTGAGGATACAGTCATGTACATGTACTAAGCTCTGTCTCTGACATTGAGCACTCTCTGCAGCTCGGGAATCAACGGATTTGTACGTCGTAGGATTCCATAATCGGTCGAAACATCGGCCTAGTGTGCACCAGCCATAGGTTGAAAGGTTGGTTTGAATTCGCAAACCGAACTGACTGAACATGTCCAATGACAAAGAAGCGAATGAGGTTCAAGTAACCCAGGCATGGGAAAACTTGGTAAGGAGACACAGATGAAAAGAAAATATGGGAAAATAAAATAAAGGAGAAAAGGAGAAAAGTTGTTTAGCCATAAGCGGAGAACTTCTCTGCTGAAGCCATTGCTCGATGGCAACCGAGCTTTCTAACACAAAAGTGAGAATGGTCGGTTGTTAGAACTCAGCGTTGCAACCAGGGAGTTTGTATGTCTATACAAGGGGAGTTTTATCTACTACTAGTATACAACTCCCTTGTTGCAACAGATCAGAAGACTGCACTTCTGTTGTACTTTAGACACCGTTCTGAGACGATCAGAAAGAGATGACGGCCTGTCAACAAGCAGCCATTGAAGGGATTTATGTCCTCACTCGCCGTCAAGGAGTTACATCATGACCAGGGAGTAGTAAAATACATTTACTACTCCCTGATCATGACATAGTTTTAAAGCGCTCAGAAAACCCAAGCAGCTTAGAAATAGTTGGACTCAAATGGAGAGCCAAAGATTTATAGGAAGAAAAAG